ATGGAATGAAAACAGTATTTAGTGCCCTGGCCTCTTTTTTTTTTTTTTTTTTTCCTCTCATAAAATCAAAATAGCAAAATGATGAGAGAAAACATTTCCTAAAAGATGCTTTGCTGTATTCGCAAAAAAAATCTTGACCATTTTGAGCTACTGAAACAGACATGACAAATTCAAAATTTAGCAAAATTTTACATTACTTTTTAGAAAGTGTTCTGTAGTGGTATATTTCTGTACTTTGACAAAATAAAATCTCACATCTGTTTCCTATTAAATGCTTAGTTTCTGTACAAAGTAATCTCAATGTAAAGTTGAATTTTGTCTCATTCTGAACAAAAAATACTAATACACAACATTTTAAAAATTATGTAATATTAAAAATATTACAGAATATAAACTCGTGAGAAATCATTCTGTTATGTTACACAATTGCAAAAAAAGAAAACATGGTCCGATGAGATGATTCTCTGAAATTTCATGTACTTAAAACAGCAAACCAAGAAGAAATTTTTGACATTTACTGACAAGCACATGTATTTGAATAGAATGAGATTTTTTAAAAAAAATTTCTCTATCTGCTTTGTATATTACATTTATTGGAGTATGGCAATGGACTTCATAAATATGCTTTTAATTTCATTACCGTAGATTGAATAAATACTATTATAATTACAATCCTACTATTGACCAGAGCCAGTTCTAGGCCCATTTTGCTACCTAGTGCAATCTCTGTGGCTCTTACTTTTACCATACTTCACCAGTAGCCAAATGGTTAAGACCACTGAATACTAGTAGTTCGAGTTGGTTTGAGGTAGCTCTCATGGCTTTGCATTATTTACCTAAACTAATTCTAACACTCAATTCCTTCTTCAAACCACATTCAAGTCCCATCGAATGAGCTGGCTGCACGAGTATATTCATGGTTTTTGCATGTGTAATTTGGATAAAAGGCAGTTTTTCTTGGAAAATCCTCTACACAGGCATCTCTCCCATTAGGCAGATAGCATTCAACAGCTTTGGTGTTATCGAACCTAAGTTCTGAAAAAATTGGCATCATGTGCAAGTAGAATGACTGTAATGCCATTCCAGATGATAAATGATGATTACAAATCAATAAATTAATGTGTCACAGTTGCATTCAAATAATCTAAGTAAAAAAGTATTTTCGAATTCCTTCCACAACCAACATGTATACAGATAACACAAAGAAATATTTATGGAGCAAACAGAGTGAGGCCACCATCATTGGGAGTTACAAATATGCTATACTGAAGGGAGGGAGAAAATTTTGACTTCCTGAATTAGCTTAATTCAAAAATAGTTTTATTTCATCTGTCCTCTCAAATTTATTATAGCAGATCATGTGACTAATATCTATATGAAGTTTGAGAAAAATAAAAAATTTGAAGATATGCACTTCGTGCATGACATACATATTCGAAGACATAAATTAATTGCTGTTATGATTGATAAAAAGCTTGTCAATAACACAATTTACTTAACGTGTTTCTTATCTTTATATTCAGATGCAACTTTCAGCATAACTAGAGAAAATTTGTTACTTTTGATTTTTACTTTCATTATTTTTCTTGTTTTGCATATACAAAAATATACATTTATAGAGAAACATAAAAATCAAATTTGAAAAAATTCAAAATAAGTTGTGAAGTAAAAACAACAGAGAAATGACTTTCGATTGTACTATAGCACTAACTTTCCCAATCTTTATCACATATTGTTAATGATTTATATATAATATGATAATGGTTTACTTTTTTCATATCATAATTGGAAGACATTTTCCTGAACTTCAAATATTCAAATAAGCCAGATGATACTGGTATGAACAGGGCTGGTGCTAGATGTTTTGGCATTCGGTGAAATCTTTGCAGGTCCTAAATTCTAGAATTAAAAATTCTAAAAATTTTGCCATTCGTAAATTTTGTTGCTCGATGCTTCACTAAATTCTAAAATTTTTCCCACACGGTACAGCTGCACCAGACGTGATCATGATTTCAAAACACATAAGATCACTGCATTATTTTTTTGACAAATAGTTACAGAACAAGTTCCATCGGTGTTAACGGAGGCCCTCTTGCTTCATTTCCTCCCAAACCTGGCATTTGGATACTCGGCTTTTGAATGCAAAAACGAGTGGAATGATTTCTTCGAGGCTTACGGTATGGACCAGGTGACATTTTTTTAAATATATATATTTACATGTAATTATTAATTTTTACTCTTTCTTCTTGGAGGTCTTGAGAATTTATCACCTATTATTAGCCCTTAGTAATTGGCAGAGGCACTTTTAGGAAGGTATATTGTTTATTTCACTTTATTCTTTTGTACTAATACTTTCTCTTTAATTCTATAGATAGACATCATTTCTTGTTCAGTTATACAGTTGTATAGCACATTAATTGCTATGGTAAGAATTCCCATTAAATTTTCAATCGAAATTTTTATGTTCACAACAATCTCTCTGTCACTTTTTTTTCCTATTGGTAGTGTTATTTTTTAAATTTAGAACCATACTATGGATTTTGCTGTCTGTTAGTTGACTGATGATAGGTATATTTAAAATGGATTTTGTATACTAAATTAAAAACGTACAATTCCTCATTTATTCAAAATGATCCATACTATAAAAATTAAATTAGAATGAAGGTAGTAGATAACTAATCAATACAGTGACAGTTGAATACAAACAGAAGTATTTAACCAAACATAGTTTGGCTTTGAGAAGAAGGCACTGAGTCAGACAATTTCATTCTTCAAATATGGTGAGAGGTAATGTTTCCATGATAACATAACCAGAGTGGTTTTCTGATCTGGCACTGTTAGACCATTTTCTTGGTTAGAAATTATAATTTGAAATTAATGATAAAGTTATATTATTCATATATATATAGCAATTACAATCAAAAGAATCGTTTGGTCAAAAGTATGGCTGCCAAGTATTCGGTGTGAAAGGGTTAAGTTGGAAGTATATCAGCTTTTAGCATTAACATATACTTCCAACTTAACCCTTTCACACCGAATACCACACAAATATATCAGCATGAAACAGACTCACTTTCTGGCTGGTATGCTGTTATAACCAAGCCTTTCCTCATCCAACCCACCTGTCACGTGTTTGTGTAAGGGTTTTGGAACATTTTAGAAACCAATATTTTTGTCATCAAAATGGATTATATGCCCATAGGATTTTAGATACAGGTCGATTTGACCTTCTACCTCAAATGAGACAAAGGTGATTCACACACACTTGGATTTTGATTATATAAACATAAGGTGAAAAACATATTATTGACTCACAGACTTCCTGACAGGACTATTTAAATGCACACATGTGGTATTTATTGATGAATGTTATAGTTTTTTTTTGGGGGGGGAGAGCTAGAGCACTGGTTATGTCTTTAAATACATGCATGGTATTTTTTATGAATATTATGAGTTTTTTTTTTTTTCTAGGGCATTGGATGCTTGGGTTTGAAATATTTATGTTATGAGCATTAGAATGTTGAAGCATTGAAAATTTGTAACAGATTATATGAATCTATCAAGTTACATCTGTAACTTTATCATTTATACGAGAAAAGAAACACAGTTACAGAAACTTCAGGATTATATGGGGAAAGATTGTTAAATTTTTACTCGAAGAACTTATCAGGTTCAATGTTCCTTCTAACCTTCTTCGGGAACATACAAGGACCTGACTCGGAACAGAGAGCTTACTAAAGCTATGTTCACTAATTGTGGTAAGTAGACAGGATACAGACGAAGGGTATACAAAACCTTTTATTTTTCTCTATATACAATAACTTCTGTACTTCGGAATACACTGACCCTCCACTCGGGGTCTAACGTAAAAAAGTATAAAAATAAAACTAAACTCTAATTTAACTTTAGAATAATACACGTGGAAGATTGGCCTTATAATAACAGGAAGCGTATGTAGCACAGAGACTGTGAACACTACAATACGTTTTAATTTATCAAGAGGATTAAAACCTCTGGCCTGGAAGGCAAATAGCAACTGCGTAACTTCTAAGGTAAGCGGCCTGCGTTGACTCACTGCTTCCTCTCTTTCGCTTGGCAAAAAGCCACAACTTAAGTACTTGGCGTTCGCCAGACAAACTTTGCATAAAATCCTTCACGCTTATAATTCTGGCCGGAAGTAGAAAATAAGAAGTGATAGTAAAGATTTAAAATAAAATAAACGTTAGTAAAACTTAAGATCCTTACAAACTTTCTGATCGAGGGTACCATTTATATACTGGTCATGTCTCCATCATTGGACGACAAACTCTTTAGACTTGGAACAAATACTTATGACACTGTAATGAGGAGAAGGAAAGGAATGACTACAAATTTTTTGTCACCCAAAATACAAACTGCTGAGATGTTAGTTTTACAGAAAAAGAACTTAAACTTAATTGCTTTCAACGATAGATGGGAAGTGCTTTGTTCAAATGAAAGATTTAAGAAAGTGCTATGGCGATGCTTTATTTATTCACACTGGCAAAAATCCTTCTAAAAGGCAAATCAGCTGTTATGAATGAAAAGATTGTTAATGTAGGACTCTGTGTAGATCTCTGTTTTAAAATTTATCTTACTAAAAATGAATTTTAAGTAAAATGCTTAGTTTTCAAATATATAATATCAAAAGTTACTAACAAGTAAGTAAATACTGAACAAAATTAATATGGAAAAAATATTTAAATAAAAATATTAAGTATATGAAATATGTAAATAAAAATATATATACAGCATATACTACATATATATTCTATACAACATTATTAAACAATATGTTCATCTTTCTGAAATTTTGTGATTTAAGCTCAGTAGTGAAAAACTCTGCAGCCCTGGAAAGACTCTCAGAAAGAAACTACTGGCTCCAGCGGTACATGTGCCTTTTGTCGTGAAAGGGTTAAAAATGAATAGATATGCCAATTTATCGCATTCGGACTATACTATCAACACTAAAAAGTAATTACCTCTTTCATAATTTGACCATCTTCAGTTATAGGTTTCATTTTTGTTTTCAGTTCTGCAAATGGTATACAAGCTCCACTTTTGAAGCTTAATTTACTTTCTCCTTCTATGTCAGCAATTTCTTGTTTGAAGTCAGTAAAACAGTCATCATCGAAGGATTCATCATCAGATGAACCACATTCTTCATGTTCTACTTCAAACTCAATGCCTTTTTCTAATTCTCTGGAATTAGAATAAAAATTACATAAAATATGAAAAGTTCAGCACACAGAAGCAATGAATTTTCAGTATTCAGTGACAATGATTGAATATGCAAGCTAAAACATAATTTTAGACATAACAAGTATATGGGATATACAAAGGAATAGTTCCCCCACCTGCTTTTAGGTAATAAATCTAAAAGCATGATACAAATTTAATTCCCTTCAGTTTTTAATAAATTTATATTTATTTCTAAAGATGACATAACAAATTTTAAATACTTCAAGGGATTTCACAATCTAATGTTAATAAAATACTTCAAAACAGCATTATCAGTTATTGGTTTGAAAAATAGAGGGAAAAAATAATTTTTATTTGTGCATGCTATTATTTCATATATGTGTTTATTATTATTGTTATTAATAGCTTTCTTGCTTGCATAAAGGAGATATAAGTGGTAATGAAAAATAACTAATAACAAATCTACTCTTTAATGGTCTTACCCTCTATCTTTGTTGATTAAACTAATAGTATTAAAAATGGGGAAAAAAAAAAAAAAAAAAAAAAAAAAAAAAAAAAAAAAAAACAGAATTATACATAGTAGCTCACATCTATTTTCAGACACTTGTATCTTTGAAATTTAATTACGTAGAACTTAATATTGAAATACACTCCAAATTTTTTCATAACATAATATTTTTTCTCTAATTAAGACACAATAACACGCCGAATAAATACTGATTCAGAAGTCAAACAACAAAAATCAGCGTTAATTCACAAAATTTTCACAGGACTAGTTTCGATGGTTTTACCGAACCATCATCTTCAGCTGCAAAACCGCAAATGAACAAGATAGGAAATAATGTTTAGATAAGATAAGAAAGCATGGACAAGAATATTCCTTTTATTCCTATGTTTTCCGTGCTCTTCAAGTTTGCTCCTCCAAACTAGCCCTTGATGAAGAACTAAATTATTTAAAAGCAATAGCTATTGACAGGGGCTTTTCACCCAACATTATTAATCAAGCAGTTAAAAAATTCTCATCTCAACACACTAAAAGCCACACTCTTATTTTAGGAGATTATAAAAATTCTTTTGTCATTCCCTTCTTTCCATCAATTAGCTATAAAGTTGCACATATTTTGCAGAAATTTAACTTTCGGGTTGTTTACTCTCCCATCAATAAAATTCCAACTTCTATACTCAAGGACCCCATTCCGGATATGAATTCCTGGAGTATTTATAGGATTTCTTGCCAGTGCGGTTTAATTTACATTGGCCAAACTAAGAGAGCCTTAAAATTTCGCGTCAAAGAACATGAGGCATATGTTAGAAAAAGGAAACACAGAAGTCTTCTGTTGCTCAACATTGTTGGTCCGAAATCACACTTTCAATTTTTCTGCTGCCAAAATTATTCAAAAAACATCTTCCATTGGAGAACTGGATTTTCTAGAGGCATTTCACATTCATAAAAATCTTTCTGTTCTAGTTAACGATCCTAATTCCAATCCAAATTTGCCTTCGGCTTTTAGAGAAATTATGTTTTAGTTCTGGTTTCGCCAACAGATGGCGCCACTTGCTTATTCTTGTCCAGGCTTTCTTATCTTATCTAAACATTATTTCCTATCTTGTTCATTTGCGGTTTTGCAGCTGAAGATGATGGTTCGGTAAAACCATCGAAACTAGTCCTGTGAAAATTTTGTGAATTAACGCTGATTTTTCTTGTTTGACTTCTGAATCAGTATTTTTCCTCTATTTTAAGATTTGCTTATTATGAAATAAATACCATCCAAACACTCTTTGCAATAAAATAATTTATTCTAAAAGTGTTAATCTGTAACTTGGATAATTCGGATATGCAAAAGTTTTGCTCAGATATTTTGGAAAATGTTTCCTGTCAATATTTTTTTAATAATAATTTATCAAGCAAAGCAGTAATAACAATTTTTGAAAAACCAATTTTGGTCTAGAAAAATTTTTAATAATAATCACATATAAGAATTATTGTCTGCATTTGGAAATTATTATGTTTTTAATAAAATATATCAACAGTTCCATATCTGAAAAAAACACGCGACAAAGTCCACAATTAGTCATACAGGTATAGTTCCACTGCACTCATTGTGCAGGTCCATCCCACTTTTGAAGAAGAACACTCCCGGGGGCAGTTTGAGGGTCTCCTACTCCTCTTCCCCTACCACCAAATTTTTGACTCTGAGGACTTATCATGCATTTTGAATGCCACTTGTCACACACATATACATTATATGCTTTTCCCTGGAATTTGTCTTCATGTCCATTTGTACTGCAGTCAGCATCACTAACCATTATACCAGCTAAGTGGCTTACACAAAAGTTATTGGAGATTTATCCTCAGAAAAATCAAACAAAACCCAACAATTAATAATGTAAAACTTACAGCAGATTTAAAAGAATGGTTGGTTGATCTTTACAATATGGTAACTGGTAGTTTGGCGACATTTTGGAGGCGATAAAGGTTACTACCTGGGACTTTGGTAATAATGTGAGCAGTACTCAGTTCCGATTACGCATTATTTTGCGTGAGGGAAGTGAGAGATCATGGGATATGTCATGCGATATTAATGGACGAATTACGGTTCTTTAATAGGAAAAGGGGGGAAATCGGGAAAAAATGTGGAAATTTTGTATTTAGCTTTATTCTGTGTTGTGTGAAACAGTGTTGGGTAATTTTTGGATCCCATGGCCCTAACTAAAGTGAATTCGAAATGGGTATTTAGGCATTGTGACAAAGAGAAATTTGCTTTTTATTTAGCGGAGGAAGTATGGAGGAAAAATTCGCAGAAAAAATCTTTCAATAATTTTATTGAATGAATTAGAAAAGTGTATCCGCCACATAATCAAGATTCTGAAGAAGATTAGGTAAGTTAGCATTTTTAATTATTTGATTTTATTATTATTTTTATAATTTTTATTTTTTATTATTTATTATTATTTTTATGCATTGTTCTAAATGTAAGGTGGAAAGGAATTTGGTATTATTGGGAAAATTGTTATTAGCAATGATTTAGTTTAAAGTAATTAGGATTGTAAGGTAATTTTTATTAATTTAATGTATGTGCTCATTTATATTTTAAGTAGTGCTTTTGAATTTAATTATATTTTAATGAAATGATAGTTATTTTGTGAATTTTATGTTTGTAGGAATTTGGTATACGTTTTAGTTGAAGTAAACGTGCATGGAAATAATTTAAATATCTGACACTAAGTATTTGTAATGGTTGCGGTATGACTTCGTTGGTGACGTTTATAATGTAATAGATGATTTAGAGGTAAAAGTTTTTGGATATTTTATTTATTTTATATGTGGAAATGTTCATATTTGTAAAGGCTAAATACTTTTTCGCGATCAGGTAATTTCATATATGTTCTTTTTACAGGGTTTAAAGATTGAGAAAATTGTCATGTATTTTCGTGAAATTTTTCTAATTTATGAAAAAAAAAGCAGTGTACATGGATATAGTGAAGAGTGTGCGCAATGCCATTTTTCTGCAATTCTGGGATGTTTTTTTAAGTAAAAATAAGTCGACGTGTACATGGTTTAGTGATATTTTAATTAAATGATAGTTATTTTGTGAATTTTATGTTTGTAGGAATTTGGTATACGTTTAAGTTGAAGTAAACGTGCATGGAAATAATTTAAATATTTGATACTAAGTATTTGTAATGCTTGCGGTATGAATTCGTTGGTGACGTGTATAATGTAATAGATGATTTAGAGGTAAAAGTTTTTGGATATTTTATTTATTTTATATGTGGAAATGTTCATATTTGGAAAGGGTAAATACTTTTTCGCGATCAGGTAATTTCATATATGTTCTTTTTACCGGGTTTAAAGATTGAGAAAATTGTCATGCATTTTCGTGAAATTTTTCTAATTTAAGAGAAAAAAGCAGTGTACATGGATATAGTGAAGAGTGTGCGCAATGCCATTTTTGTGCAATTCTGGGATGTTTTTTTAAGTAAAAATAAGTCGGCGTGTACATGGTTTATGTGTATGTGTTATTTTGAAAAACGCGTAAGGAGTATGGTGTTGTGCACTTTTTCCCAATTTTGCAGTGAATATTTGTCATGATTAAGCAGTTTTGTTAGATAAAATTTCTAGCATAAGTGTAATTCGGCTAGTAGATTGTTGGAAGAAGTGTTCAGTAGATAAAAAGAAAAGAAACATGTCTTTACTTCGTGAAGACAAAATGGCGGCGGGAAAAAAAAAATAGAGGGTTGCTGTAGGAGAGTTGGTCGCCAAAAAAACGCCAAGTTACCATAATGTAAAGATCAACCAATTTTAGCTTAGCTTATACCATCCGCTATACATTAAATGTGCATGCGTAAACGCACATGTACAAACGCATTATGCGCATGCGCAGAAAGTTTGTAGCTTTGAGGTTCGGATTATAGATCATTCCGGATTATGGACATCCGGATTAAAGACTTTTGACCGTAGTGAATATGAAATTACCAATATTTTCTTAATGAAGTAAGATTAGTATAATTTTAGACTTTGAAATGACTCTTTTAAATGTAACAAATAAGCTAAGAATATTCTGAACTATTGAACAAAAAATCGCCAAGTTACCATAATGTAAAGATCAACCGAATGGTTTGCAATCAAATTTAACCCAGAAATTGTTACTAGAGTCATTAGGATAGAGTGGATGATCAACAAGAAGGGAATTCTTCGTCAAATGAAAAAATGCCTGGCATTGGCAAAACTTATTGTAACCAAAGATTTATCATATTAAAATAATGTTATACTCATAAATGATTCATTCATTTTGAAAAAGCTATACTTTCAAAAGTATTACTCATACGCATATGAAAAGAACCACAAACTCGCCAAGTTTCTTTCAGTACTTCAACAAGCTTCCCAGATAAGTGAACCATTGCTTCATCGCTGAATATCATCTTGGTGGCGAAATCTTTATTCCCCAATGCTTCTTGCATGCTGACATAAAAATCTAGTCAATGGGCGTAATCCTCCGGGTTTAATTGTTGCGGGAGTATGGTTAGAATCGCAACCATTGACGCAAAATTTTCTACAGTTTTTTGTAGTATCCCTAACATCTGGTCAATTGACAGGACGACAATGCTTAAAAATGTATGGAATGAGCTCGATTAGCATGTGGACGTGTCACCAAAGGGGCACATACTGACTATCTGTGGAGGGCGTATAAACTTGGGGAGTTTGTGGTTCTTTTCATATCCTTGATATGTGTACATGAAATACTTTTGAACATATAGGCTTTTCAATATGAATATATCCTTTATCCTAGACCTGTATTATATGGATGAGTCAAAATTTAATATATTTCAGTTTGATAGACAAATTACTGTAAAGTGAAGAATGAAGAATTGAATCCAAAAAACCTTCTCTTAAGGTCTGGGCACTATTCATGGGAAATTTACATTTTATGAAAAATATTATAGATCAGTATACATAGAGTCTTAATGAAAACCCAAATGCCTCTGCAATAACACTTGAAATGCAAATTCCATCAGGATAAGGATCCTAAGCATAGATTCCTATATGTTCACTTGTTGTTATTATGCAAATGCCTGAAATCATCAAAACTTCTCCATATTCTTCAAATTTAAATCATACCAGACTTGTACAGCATGAGTTAGCAAAAAGAAATGTGACATTCTTTAAAAGCTGTATTAAAAGCAATTTGTACTAACACCATGCCAAAGCATATGAAAAACATAATTTTAGTTTAAAATACCTAAAGAAATATAAATATACATATCCGCTTTTATTAAACTGCTTCAATGTTTGCAATGAACAAACAAGTACAAAATGAACTCGCAAAACAAAGTACAAAACTCGCAAGTACAAAATGATTTGGTACAACTCTAATATACGCCCTAATTTCACCAAATGTGGCGATATGTGTTCTACGCTGGTTTTTGGCGCGATTGCGTGTTCTATGGCAACCCTGTTGACGTTGAAAAATCTTTCGCTGGAGCTCGTTGGTTCACCTCTGTGTCTGAGAAGATGGGAGGGAAAGATAAAATGGTAGTTGTTGAATTGAAGTTCGGCAAAAGGAAATATGATTGTGGCTATCCTGTTGAGGGGTAGTGGATATTTGGAAGTGTGGAAAGAGGGTCTGGGAGATTATTTTTAATGGCAGTGCATGATAGAAGTAGGGATTTGTGATTTTATTTATTTGTGAATCATAGTATAAATTTTCTGGATAGTGTGTCTGGCTGTCATGTAAATACAATAGTGATTACATGGCAGCATGTTAAAGGCGGTATGAAATTTATATTTCTGCTATTCGAAAACGCATTAATTCATGGTAAGTGCATTTTATTTTAACCTTGTTCTTATTTTGTAGAATGTTATGTTCTTTGGTTCTTTAGTATGAATTTCTGTCGTTATTGTTGTTTTTTAAAAGTGTTTGAAATTTATTTTAGTTTATTTAGTCTAGACTGTACAATTCGTAGATGTTTTTCAAAGTTGAAACAGAACACTGAGTCCATGGTATTATTTGAAATTTATTGCTGTTATGTTATTTTATTAGAGCGAGGAGTGTGTACATCGTAGATTCCTTCCTTGCCTAAATTGTGCAATTCGTAGAATTTTTTTAAAGTTTAAACAGGATGCTGTGTACATGGCATTCTTTGAAATTTATTGTTATGTTAATTTATTAAAGCGAGGTGTGCGTAGTTTGTAGATTCGTTCGTTGCCTACATTGTGCAATTTGTAGATTTATTTTTAAAAGTTTTAACTGGATAATGTTCATGGAATTCATTGAAATGTATTGCATTATGTTAATTTATTAAAGCGAAGTGTACATAGTTTGTAGATTTGTTTGTTGCTAGATTTCAATTTGTAGATGTTTTTTTAAGTTAAAAACATGTTGCTGTGTACATGGATTCTTGTCAAATATTTTTGGTTAGAAACTTTACGTTTTTGCTATCTAAATTTTTTGTTTTTGTTTCGGATTTTTAGCTAAATTGTGTGTCCAAAACGTAGTTTTTGCATGTGCGAAAACCGCGTTTTTGGAGACATTTTAGGCTAAAAGTTCAAAATGTAGACAAAAAATTTAGATAGTAATATGGCAGCGTGAAGTTTCTCGCCAAAAATATTTGGCGAGAAATTTGGCGACTTGAGGGCACATATCAGAGTAATTCCAATGATTTATTTGAAAACAAAGTCATCTTGCTATTTGCTATACATCATATCACAAGCAAAACAAAGTCATTATGCTAATACTTAGTACCCAATATTTGCAAGTACAACTGAAGAACACGATTATCCGAAAACAAATGTTAGCCACTGTACACATATTTTCCCTTTTAATCTGCAGGAAAATCATAGACAAGTTTTGCAATGTACTTATATGTAAATAATGGGAAAATGTTTGCCACAAAAGTAAAAACATATTCCTCTGTATAAGCTGCGAACAAGTAATATTAATTATAAAAAATTACTGCAAAAAAGAATCCATGCTTGTTTTATCTCTGTTACACTCGGAGACTGAGACGGAGCCTGGCTCCAGTACTTTTCAGTTTTTTAAATAAATCATAATTTTAGCTGAAGCCCTAAACCAAAGGCTTCTGGTACTTTTATGTTGAGGGATGTATGTGCAAATAGTTCGATGCCTTGTAAAAGAAAAAAAATTGGAGGAGCCAACAAAATTGTAAAAAAAGACGAAAGTATTTTCACAAAAAGAAAAAAACAACATGTTCTTCCAGAACAATAAGTATTCGAGGGTTTATGCCAAGCAAACAAAAAAGTTTTCTGGTCGCCATTCCCGATCGTTGTGTACATTGGGAAATAGGACATATAGGAATGCCATTCAGGAACACACGGCAGTATAATATTTTCAGACTGCAGTTAAGGATATAAGAAAGAGGAATTAAGAAATACTGAAGATTTCACAGTGAATCACAGTTATAATTTTGTAGACCCAAACTGGATGTGTAGGGCTTGTCACTAGATGTGTGTCACAGCATGTGGAGCAGTGGTAAATGGAGAAAAAAATTTCAGCAGGGCACTGTTCACCACCATTTAGAGTTATATTTGATAGAATTCATGTGGTGTCGGTTATATTCAAAAACTGAATTTTATGCCACCTGTGTAGAGTGATTTTCCTTTTGTTTTATTATGTTTTATTTATGTGTAGCACATAAACATTTCTCTTTATGCTACCTACTTAGATTAAATTTTATTTCGTTTTGTCATTTTAAGGTATGGAATACTCTAGATTAAAAAATTAGAAAGAAAAATTTACTTTGTTTAAGAATTATGAAATTTTAAAAAATTTACTTTTTACAGAATTAATTTTTTTTCCCCCTTTTGAACTCTTATTTTTTCATAATTTTACACTTCACAACAATTAATGGGTAAAAAAAAAAAAAAAAAAAAAGAGTGGTGCATTTTTAACTGACACCACTCTAAAGGAATACTAAAAAAATGTTAATAAAACTGCAAATCTTGCCACGCAGACTTTTTTTAATAACAACACACAGTATACACATAAAAATTATGTTTCCCTTCTCCACATAAATTTTACGAGATAACTTTCCAGATGATCACGTGCTGTCCCTCTGTGTTTCTTATTTCGTCACAGTCTTTCTATTTTTTGTGTGTGCTTTCCTTTTCCAGATTAACAAAGCTGTATTTATGATTCACATTGAAATGTTCAAATCTTTCCTCTTCCAGTTTTTCAGTGCAGTATGATTTCCATGAATCGAAATATATTATAATTCCTTTTTCAATATTTTCCTTAATTGCTTCTTATAGTACTCATGGATAGGTTTGGCACCTTCACAAGGAAACATTTGTTTCTTTCACAAGAAACTCCACTGAAGATCAGTTGTTGTAGTAATGGCCCACTAGTAACCGAACAGTAACATCACTAAACATTGGTAGTTCGGTCCGAAGTTCAAATCCGACGAACAGGCTGGCTGCATGAGCATTTTCGTGGTTTACTGTCAAATGTGTATACGAGCCAGTTTCCATTAGAAAGTCCTCTACGAAGGCATCCCTCCCTTTACACAGATAGCCTTAGTGTGCTTTGCTGTAATCTCAATAAACCAAACCCAAATCTCACAAAAACACGCATTGTTTTTGTGCTTCGTGAACATATTTTCATCCACTTTGATGATAATAGCAGGTTCTCCTATTTTCTGTTGTTGCTGTTAAACAAACAACCCGCGCAAACCTCATGCATGTAGTTATTTTGGTCCACAACTGTTGTGTGACTGTTTTCCAATTATTTTTCACACCATTTAACTTAAGTTAATTCTTCGCCCTAGCCATAAATAAAGCTCACACACTTCAAGAAATTCAGTTTTGATAACTCAAATCATGTGCCTTTCCGGTATTGTGACAAGTTGAAAGGGTGCAGCGCCACTGAATTTCATATCCGAAATACAATTGCATTTCATGAGCAGTAGCATATCACAAGTAGCATCTTTCGCTTGAAAGAATCTGACAGATTATTCCTCTGTTCTGCCAAATCCCAAATTTTCATCGGTTTTTGAAGGCCGCGACTTATTTCCAAAATGTGGCGGTAAAAGGGACGGGATATTCTGTATTTCGTCGGTAGTATCATTTTTGGCAACTTTAATGTCTGCTCCCGAGAAATGAAAGTACCATAATTTGTTATATTTCCACTGATCTCTTTACCTAGATTTTAATTTAATCACTTATTTAAATTTTTAGTTATTTATTTAATTTTTCCTACCTTCTTGAGTCTTCTGCACTTCTAATTTTAGAAATTAAGCCCTGATTATGTTCTGGCAAACACACAGCAAGAATAACAATTAGTATAATTTTCATAAATAATAAAAGAGAAATACACTTACTGGCATGAGATTCCTCGCTCTAAAAATACTTTAGGCATTTTCACTGATGAGCGGTCAAAGGAAATTCAAATGTATCAAACCAAAAACAGAAAACGAGCGCTATAAAGATTACTTATTAGGCGCCATTCGCTATTTCAAAATTCCTCTTCGATTGCCAACAATCGTTCCAACTGCGCATGGTCAGAGATTCTTTGGTTGCGCCTGCGCTGCCATATCATTCTGCCGAGAGATCCTTCAATCTGCTCCAGAATATTAGTTTTACACATAATAGATTAATAGATAAAGGAAATGTAAATGGCAACCATCATGCTTGGCCAAATTTGGCATCGTTTGACGGTATCACGGAGTATAATGACGTACATAGTACATCCGTACTATCCGTACATAGTTTTTTTTACATCGAATGACAACTGAGAAACTATCGTGTGAGTACGAAATTTTGTATTCATTTTGTGAATTTATTTGATTATATTTTTTACCCAGTTATTGTTTGATATAAAACCATTAAAACTGAAAATCATATTGACATGATTATACGTTTCATTGTCTTTTTCTTTATGAAATATTTGCTTTATATTCTTTAAATTTACTCAGTTTCGTACCAGTTTGATTTATAAATTTGTTTCTTAATATAATGGTAATTATTGATTTCTTTAAATTCATCTTCGTCATATCTGTTAGTAATTCATCCAGTAAAAATTCGTTGAATTATTCCAGTTTTTCCTTGTGGTGAAATGTTAAGTTGTGACTCTTAATTGTTTCCTTGAGATTGTATATTTGTTTAGCTGACTTGTATGTAAAAATTAATATATTGTATGTTAAAAATATTGTTGATATTTCGTTGGCTTTACCCTTTTCCTGTTATTTGTATCTCGTTTCGAATTTTTTAAATTGTTTTATGAAATATCTTCCAACCTGTTATAAACATTTTAGCAACACCTAAATTTTGCAGTACTTTATTCATTGTCTCATCTTGCTTACGAGAAATTTTAAATGAGTTATCTTTATGGCTGTTTTATGATCTGTCATCGCTTTCTGAAATTCTCTTATACTTACTGCATTTGATTTGGAGTTTTATTCACGGAAGAAACAGCTTTATTTTGATTGCTTTTTTAAACAGCCAGCTGGGATGTCCTGTAGAGCAGGATTTAAAATTTTTCAATTCTGTTCCTAGGGCAGACTTGCTAGTTCTCCTGATTTTACATCATGTGATAAATAGCTGTGTAAGGATATAGACAATTTTATGTAAATAACACATAATGCAGGTTTAGTTTGTTAAAACACATTTCACTTCATTATCTCACCACCAGATGGCTGCACTGTGCAGGAAGCAGTTTATCCCAGTAATTTTTCTAATTGTTTAATTGTTGTAAGTTACTAATTTTTCACTCTGTGTTTTAACTGTAATTTAACTATAACTTTGAACTGAAGAGAGAGATTCTGTCTGTGGAGTGTCAAAAAAACTCCTACATTATTTAGTGGATAATGGAAATATTTAATAAATAATAAACAATAAAGTAGGTCAATGGAAACATGAGTAATAATCTGATAACAATTTTATACACTAATGTTTTTGAAAAATGCAACACTATGAAGGAATTGTTGGAAATAAATGAAATTTATTCCACATATTTACTGGTAGTAGTAGAAATAAACGATTAAATTTATGATAGAAAAAAAAGTCGGTAATGAGTACTTTGTGTATTCGCCGCTATGCTGTGCGATGAGAGCCTGTACACGTTGTGGCATTGAATTATACAGGTTCTGAATGCAATCCTGGGGAATGGCATTCTGGATGACTTCAACTTGATGCCAAAGTTCAATTTTAGTGAGTGCTCCAACAGCTGTATCAATGAGTCGTCAACCAATGAAATCCCAGACGTGCTCAATGGGCAACATATTCGTGGAATAAGCTAAGGAGGGCATTTTCTGGATTCATAATCAGAAATTAATTTCCAATGTCAAACCAATATGTTATAGTCAATTTTACGGAATGGATTTTAGCATTATATTGCTGAAGGATCACATCGTGCCCAGTGCTTAAAATGTGCGGGAGCACGGCACGTTTCTTCTCATATTGTTATTGGGTCGGATTCATGGGAAAACTTTTTTTGCCCAGTTGCATTCTTCTTGACAGCTAGAATTATATCTCCAGGGCATAGCGGTCAGAAACATTGGGACTCCTCTGTTTTCAATGCTACATTTCCCCATTAAAATTTTTTTCCATACCCTCCTGTTATTTCTAAAATTCACTCTATTCTCATTAGTATCATTTTAATTGTTAGCCCAAAGGGGCAGTTTGCCCAGAAGGCTATTAATTTTGTTTTGGCATTTTGCATTGATTCACTATATAAACGGCGAATTACTTTTTAACTGTTGCCACCAAATTTTTGCCCTGCATTATACTTAAATAATGAAGAATCTGCATAAATGTATGTATGTACTTTCAGTACATGTACGCCCAATATGGGCATTCGAAAGCCCGAATTTGGAATTTGTTTTATTATCTATTTCATATTTTGGGAAGCATTCATGAGTTTTTGATTAAGAAACTCAATTGTTTCAAAGCGAGCAATAGCAACACTGTAGGGGAAAAAAAGAATTTTATCTCCAGCGTTCGAGATTGTGATTGTATTCTAAAGATATGCTCTTTTAAATATTTTGCAATATTGCTATTGAATTGAATTTTATGGTGTAAGTGCGAAGAGCATGATATTTAATAAACAAAGGTAACATACAAAACGTTAAAAAAATGCCTCTTTAGGTGCAATATAAAATTTTTTATTTAGTTTTTTTTTTTGTTTCTTTCATAAGTGTGCTGTTAAAAGTGGTTTTTAATCATTTTATTAGTTATTTTATTTATTTATTTTTCATCTTCCTGATGACTTTCCATAGGGCTCCAGCACTTCAGATTTTAGAAATTAAGCCCTGATCACACCTATTAATCAATGCAAAATGTCAGACAGTTAAAGTCCATTCCAGATGATTATGAGAATCACGTTGGACTTGAAAATGATTGGTAGCATGTCAGTTGAATACAGATATTCAATATACAATCACACAGCTAAAATATGAATGCTGCGATAATTTTTGTTTTTTGAAGTAACTTGCTGGTGTCTTTTTGATTAGTGTATACATGTTCATAGTATTCCTTATTGGTGTTTTCATTCAGTTTGTTTGCTAATGTTAAAGTGATTTATGATCATGAGCATTTGATTAGCATGTCCTGTGTACATTTTACAAAATTCTTGGTTTTATTGGGACTTGTGTGCTCGAGATTGTTAGCATACTGCAAATTGCAAATAATAACAGTTTCCTTCAGAATTTCCTTACGTATTATACAAAGTCATAGTTTTCTTCAGAATAAAAGTTTAGTGTAAGGATTGGCTGAGAACAGAGAATAGAGTTATTTGCAGAAATGTGGATGTAATGTGCAGTTGCTCCTCGCCATCTTAATTAAGATAAAATGCAAATTTAGGATGCAAAATTTGATTGTTAGTGTTGACAATTTGTCAAGGATGGTCACTAACATATAGCTTTTAAAAGTTTCACTGGGTTAATACATATGCAAATGTTATCTCAATCTTTGCAGTTGTTCAAATATAAATCTATTATGCAAACATGTAAAAAATATTCATTCAGTGAAATGTAGAATATTAGAACTTTCTTCATATATTATAACTGCTCCAGAGACTTCTGCCCCCATATTTACTAAAATTCTAAATATCAAGTTATTTTATACCAATAATAATTATAAATTACACATTAATAATTATTAATTACACATCAAAAATACTGATTTTAATAAAATATCCTACAGTTAAAAAAATAGTATTGCTGCATATTACCAAAATTAATAATTATTAAATAATTAATAAAATTAAAATTAAATATACTGATAGCAGATTGCAAAGGTGACCTTGAAGATATTGCACAGAAAATGCCAAATGTCCACCAAATTTTAAATTTACCCAATGAAAATTTATAAAACAATTAAAAGTAAAAATCTGAAATGTAAATAAAAATAATTATCCTGATTAGCAAGAGCAAAAATTTGGAAAAGAAAATTTGTTAGACTTCAATTTTGATGCTAAATTGATATTCATAAAGATCTTCCTCCATAAAAAAAGGTCACAGATAGTGTATGCATATTTTTCATCTCAGACTGTGTATAGTGGATATAAGGAATCTCAAAATATGCTTGATTATGCTAACACATTTGACATTAAATCTAATGTTAAAATGGATTCTGTGTTAACCATACAAAAATGAAAAGAAAGTAAATCACTTAGCATTCTTAATTTGGCCTTAGCCCAGTGCTTAAATTGTGCTGGAGCCCGGCTCCGGTACTTCTCAATTTTTAAGATAAATTACAGTTTTAACCGGAGTGCACCAGTGCCCTAAATAAGATGAGCTTTGGTACTTCTTTTTATAAAATGAACCACAATTTAAAGAGAACAAAATTTAGAATTCCTAACGTTTTAGTTTAACAATAAGCAGACTTTGCAATACTCTATTTCTCTAGACATACGAACTCATGAGAACATGAGACGTTCAAGTAAAGTCCCCTCACTCACATGCAGAAACCCTTCCATTTAAGAAGTGCAATAAATTTGGGGGAATTTGTTTAGGAATACGTAAATTTCTTGCCATGCCATCGTAGCTACTGTATTGTTTCGATACTTACAGTTATTCTTGCAGGAAGGAAAATTTGTGTTCTTAAATGTGCATTAAGTGACAGCAAGTACAATAAGAGTGAAATACTGAGATAAACTGCTCAAGCACGTCCTATGCATTGTCTTCCCACAATATCCACTAATGGGGGGAAACGTAAACCAAATTCAGGACTCATTTTACCCCTGACATACATCTGCTTGATGGCTATAATTATATCAGCAGAGAGCCATGGTCAAAGAGAATGTTCTCTCTCACCAAAATTCCCCTAATTTTTTGTTTCCACCCACTCATATCCTCATTCTGTTTCACCCTGGAATTTCCATCAGCTATGCTTTAAGTATATTTAATTTTTGTGATAATAAAAGAACTCCCTCCTTCCTTATAAATTAGAGCTTAAATTGGGCGGGAGCCCACTGGATTCCGCCTCTGGGAGTTTTCCCTTCTTAGTTTTTGTAATAAATCATAATTCAAGCCGGAACGCAAGGGAGCCCTGAATAGGAAGGCTGTGGCACTTCTTTTATATAATTGAATAACAATTTCAGTAGAAATTTTATCTCAAAAATTTTATTTTAACA